TGGCGCGTATGTTTCCGTGCGATGAGGGACGCGCGTATGTGTTCACGCTGCGGGCGCGGGCGGGCACGGAGGGCGGCGCGGTCTCACCGCGGTCCGACGTCGGTTGGTCTTCGGCGTGACAAGGGCGGGCACGCAAGAGGCCTTGCCGCCATGCGCGTTGCCACGGAGGGCAAGATCACCGTCTGCGGCACGGTGACCGGCAGCGTCGAGCTCGAACAGGCTCGTGACGTCCGCGACACACTCGATGGTGCTCGAGCAAGCAACCTTGTCGTCGAGAACGAGACCGCAGTCCTCGAGCACGCCGTGGGCTATTTGTCGCTCCCAGGCCACACGGACGAAACGGCCAGCCGCGTAATGCCGCTCGTGCGCTTCCCGCTCCGTCTCGTTGCTGCCCCCCTCCGCCGGAGCGCAATGTATTATGCTGCCCCCCTCCATTCATCGCCAACTCACGGCTATGCAGGAGCGCAACGAGGTAGTGGATGAGCTGATCAAGGAAGCACTTGAGCTGCAGATGAAGCCTGACCCTGAATCGGCGGTCGCGACATTCATGCCCAGCAAGAAGCGCCTGATCACGGGCGTGCTGCCCGGCGAGCGGCGACACCCAACGACGTGCCACGCGCCAACGCCGCAAGTAACTGCACGGACGACAAGGTGGACGCCCTCAAGTTGGCGATGAACGCCTTCTCGTGCTAGCAGGGGTAAAGCCGTACCTCTCGAGTTCGTCCTCGACGTTCGAGAGAACGATACGATCAGATCCCATCTCCGCGAGACGGCAGACGCGCATCTCCTCTCGAGAGAGATCGCGCGCGCCGCACGGGCTCGCACCCGGGGCGGGGGGCGCCGCGGCTGCACATGCGGTTGCGGTTTGTGTGGAGAGACTCAAGCGCCCAGAAACTGAAGAATCGCAAGGAGATAGATCTAGTAAACAAAATACTGACCAACATTCTTCACCTCCGCTCTGCCTACAGTCCTCTGCTTTCTCTCTGCTGCTGTACACAAGCGTGCCTGTCCGCGGCGCGCCCCTGGAGAGTCGCAGCCGAGACGCGAAACGTAGAGATCGAACGCCCACGGCCGCGCGCCCCCGCCTCAGCGCCCCCCTCCTCTCGGGAGCGGCTCCAGCTTTGCCGCATCCGCAAAGAGCCTGGCGCGTCCGTCGGCGTAGGCGGTGCCAAGCACGTCCGCGTCGGCGGCGACCTGCGACCCCTCGTCGTTGTAGCGCTTCGCGTTGGCAACCATAGTGGCGAACGCCTCGTCGAGCTCCTGCGCGCGGGACGGGCCGCCGTCTCGCGTGCCGTGGCCGGGCGACGAGGGGGGGAAGGAAGGCAGGGCGAGGCGAGGCGAGCCTGGAGCGTCGCGCCGGCGCGCACGTACTCCTTCATTGAGCTGATGCTCACCTACGGTCAGGGTTAGGGTCAGGGTTAGCGCTAGGGTTAGGGTTAGCACTCCCCTTCATCCAGCTGCTGCTCACCGGCCGCTTGATGAGGCCGTAGTAGCCCGGCGCCTCCTCCTCGGTCGGCAGCAGCAGGAACAGCTCCGCGACCTTGCGCCCGCCGCGCAGCGTCTTGGAGACGGCCGTGAGCAGCTTCTTCAGCCGCTCCGTCGTCGCCGCGTCCGCCGGGGGCAGCCCGGCCCGCCGCGCGAGGGGCTGGTCCCTCTCCCTCCCCCCCTCGCGGCTGCCGCCCCCCTCCTCGCTCGGCCGCTTGGCTCGCTTGCCCTTGCTGCCGCCCCCCTCCGCACCGCCGCCCCCCTCGGCGGCCGGCGCGTCTGCGGGCTTGCGCTTCCGCCGCCGCCCCGCCGCCTCGTCCTCCTCGCGCGCCTCGGCGAGCAGCTCGCGAGTGAACTCGCGGTCCGTCTGGCCGACGTACGACACTCGCTCCTGCGCACACGGCCGGCGGCGAGGGGGTCAGGGGGTGCGCGTGTGTGGACGGGCGTGAGAGAGGGTGCCTGCCAACCCCCTCGAGGGGAGGGAGGGTGACGCCCTCTCGGGCAGTCTCGGGTAGTCTCGGGTAGTCTCGGGCAGTCTCGGGTAGTCTCGGGTAGTCTCGGGCAGTCTCGGGTACTCTCGGGTAGTCTCGGGTAATCTCGGGCAGTCTCGGGTACTCTCGGGTAGTCTCGGGTAATCTCGGGCAGTCTCGGGCAATCTCGGGCGATCTCGGGCGATCTCGGGCGATCTCGGGTAGTCTCGGGTAATCCCGGGCAGTCTCGGGCAGTCTCGGGTAGTCTCGGGTAATCTCGGGCAGTCTCGGGCAGTCTCGGGTAATCTCGGGCAATCTCGGGAATCTCGGGCA